GTTCACGACAAAAACGCGCGACACGATAAGCTTCTCGAATAGAAATTCTATAAATTCGCGAACATACTCTTTATAGTTCAATGCAAACGCTCCTAGTAGTACGGAGTACGGAGCACCGGTTGCCGCGCAATCGCCTCCGGACCCCTCCTTGCCTTGGCGCGTTGCCATCCGAACGGCTATAGCGGCCACGCCTCATTGAAGCGTCTGTTGCTTTTGCTTTTGAACAACATTTTTCGCTGTTTATACATATATAGTATGTTTCAACTCAGTTTAGGCGGGAATGGACTGGCGGAGTCCGCTTTGCAGCGATTCCCGCGTTTTTCAGTCTGCGTCTCTTCACTCCAATCTATCTCGGTGCGCCAGTGGCGGTGCGAACGCACTGCTCGACTTGGAATTTTTGCCTACTCCGCCTACTCCTTTCTAAAAAAGACTGTATCAGTCATTTCGTGCCCGTGCCTAGTTACTAACTCTCTCCTTAGAATAGCTCTTTTACATTAGCGGTCAAGCAAATCACCTTTAGTTACTGGAACTTTGAATAATTTCGAACTGAGCATCTTTTATATACTCTCGAGTTGTGAACGAGATCTAGAGAACATTAGAAATAGAGGAGGCTGTCGTGCCGTGTTTCCATATTCGTGACACGGGCGGTTCCATTTGGATGAAGTCTCGGGAAAGTTATGCATAAGAGTAGGTAGACGCACACTACCGGTAGCAAAAGTCAGGCATCTCGCCCCGTCTTGCGTATTTCTTTTATATTGTAGATTAGTACCTGTTTGATAATTTATGAAATTGTTTTCTTGTTTTTGTCATCAGTATAGTTAGTATGTACTTGCTTTATCGTACGACTAGCGTCTAGATTGTCGTATGTAGAAAGCGGGACGCGCACAGGTATCGGGCTACGTTTAACTGATTGAGCCCATTACAGCAAACTTCTTCTATTTTCAAATTAGTAACTAATGACAAAATATTTCAAAGAAAACCTGTACAGCATTCAGCGATTATTTCAGAGACAAAAGTCATGGCATTCTGACAATTCTTTCTGCAACAAATGTTCAACGGAAAAGTTTGCTGCAGCCAAGTTTCAAATTGGAAGTAGTATCGCTGATCAGGTAGTACACGAGTTTGGTATCTATTATCCAGAATAGCTAATAAACAACGTTTCCTCTTGATGTTGAATTATAGCATGGATTGCTTTGACGGTTGTTCTTGTTTTTTTTAATTTGTGAAGCATCCTAAAAACCATTAGAAAGCTACAATTACATCGAACTCCTGCTGTTTTGCTAGGATAGAATACAGTTTGTAAGAGATGTCTTTACTTCATGATAACGCTGATAATTCATTCACTTTCTGATATTTTGGTGCCTAGAACCTGGCAGTGGTAAGCTTCCTTTCTGTAGTTTTAGCCTTACTTTTTTGATTATATCATTTGAAGTTTTTCTGCGATTTTGCGACTTCGATGAGCTGAGACCAAACATATGAACGGTAGGCAACACTCTCGAGCGAAAAAAACGCAGACTTTAAATCATCTCGTTTGACAGAAAAACATATAAACGCAACGCACGTTCTTGTACACCGGTGGGTGAGACGAAAATGCCAGAGCCGATGATGCATCCTATGATGATCGTCACGCCATTAAAGAGCGTAAGCGACTTCGCTAATCCCTTATCTGTCTCTTCTTCAGCTTCGGGGGCTGACTCGACCTGGAATATCGATACGTTCAA